GTCTACATAATAGACTGGCAGTACGCTAAAGCAGCTTAATGACTATTTGTACAAAGAACATTTAAAGAATCGATTATAATAACCAGGCTACAGTCTACATTATAGACTGCCAGTACACCCACTCAGCTTCATAAGCAGGCTAGAGTCTACATGATAGAGTGGCAGTACGCTCACAGAGCTTAATAAGCAGGCTACAGTGTACATAATAGACTGTCAGTACGCTCACCCAGCTTAATGAGTATTTGTACAGTGAACATTAAAGTAATCGATTGTTGGCGCGTTGGGTTTAAAAGTAATATTAATAGCACACATTGTGGTGGGGGTGTAGTGAAGAGTAGGAAAAACTTTGATGAATTTACCTCAGAGTGGCGTGGTGGGTGTCGAGGCCTAGTAGCGTGCAAAGCCTGCAGCCTCGCCTAAAATTGTCGGCTTGGAAGAGGCAGGGTACGGGTGGCGTCCCTTCCCCCCCCCCTAGCGCTCCAACAATACTGTGTAATGGCTATTATTTAATTAAATACGGAGCTTATGAAAGTGGCGAAGGCGTGGCTAGCGGTTGGCAGGGGCAACCGCCGTCCAATGAAACTGCAGCCCTTGGCGAAGGCGTCGCTAGCCGTTGCCAGGTCCAATGAAAGCGGCGAAGGCGTCGCTAGCCGTTGGCAGGGGCAACCGGCGTCCAATGAAAGTGCGTATGTTCCGGAGACACACAGACACACAGACAGACAGACAGATTCACGATTTTATATATATAGATTTTAATGCGTTAATTCACGTAACGTATTCATTCTATTTACAATTGTATTATCCATTCATATTAATTTTATTCCTAATTGTATTTACGCATTATTCACTTTATTTGATACTTAATGTTCTGCTATTCGTTGTGCACAGTTGCAAGTTGACCCACTGAGGTCGTGACGGGTTTCCTTTGTTCCATTCCTGTTGCTCTGTCGCCCCGGCACCATTCCCGTGCTGCTGTGATGTGCACCGATTCCCACTTCACTGAGGGCGATGTTGGCACGCAGACTGAAGATCGATTGAAGATCGATTGAAGAGGACAATTGCACATCCCTTTGTGTCCAGTCAATGTCTCGTTACTCGAACACATTTGTAAAACCTTACCCATGGCTCGAGGAGTATCCTGAAGCTCATTAAATAACTTAACAATTATTATTGAACTCTCAGCTCCACCGTGACGAAGAATGAAAGCTGTCAATGCTCCTCGCATTTCCGCTTTCAACTGAAGAAACTTCAAATCTTGACGATGCTCCCAGCACCTGGAGGGAACGTCACAGACATCGCGCTGATCAACAAGGGGCAGAACCTGAAAGCGCAACGGAGAGAGGCACAATGCGTAATCTGCACACCGCACTCCGACATGCACGCCGCTCACCAATCCAAGCGCTACAGTCCAGGCTCAACTTTGCGTAGCTTCCCAGATCTGGAAGAAAAAAAATCGGCGACATCCTGGGTTGATTTGACCACAGCCTCTTTTGAAATCTCCCGCGCACTTTCATTATTTAGCGCACCCCGCGAATCCCTGCGGTGGAGTGGCAGCGCCCTCGCGTGGCGCGCACCAACACCGCTCCAGGCACCGCCGGGACCCAAACGATGTCTGGGAATCGGTCGCGATTCGTGACTCGGTCCGCAACTCTGGGCTAGTGCCCACAGTAAAACAAATTAACTCCACGTGACCCCCAACATCCCCATCTCCCCCACCAACTAGGGGTATCTCGCATGACAACCTCCAAGCCCCCCCACCCAAACAACCCCCACCTCACGCAGCCTTCCCTAGCAGGGAGGGAGTGGAGGTAGCGGATGGAGGGAGGGAAGGGAGGGAGGTAGTGAAAAGAGTGGAGGGAAGGAGGGGAGACCGGTCTTGTGTGGGGAATGTGATCAGAGTGAAGTATTTATATACTTCACTCTGATCGCACAAAGTCCCCACCCATAAATTCGGCATCACCCAAAGATTCTTCCTCACTGCTCCGCCCCCCCATTTGTGTTTTTTTTGGACCCAGCCCAAGCGGTGCCAATGGAGGATCGCACAGCAACATTGGACCAGCACCATGGTGCGTCACGTGGCCCCGTCTAGCTACCACCACTACCACACCGCTGGTCATCACACTAAGCCACATTTATTTCTAAATATACATACACATATTTTTATATATTTTTTCCAAGCATTTTGATACTTATTTATTTATTAATTCATGTATCTTATATATAAAAGTATCCGCGCACGCGCTTGCGAGAAAAAAAATTGCCAGCCGGCACGCCCTAAGCCCCACGGTGGGAATAGGCTATCCATACTCTTCGTTCTTTCGGTAAAGTCACGTAGGTAAAAAATGAAATTAAAATTAATAAAAATAAAACAATAAAATCACGACGTTTCGGAGGCAACACAAGTCTCCGTCATCAGGTGGGACCGTCACAGCCAGATTTGCTGCATCAAGTGAGGCAAGGATTCAAGATGCAAGCCCTTAAATACAAGTTGAGGGGGAGGAGAGGGGGGGGAGCTTATCAGAATGTGGTAGCCAATGAATGGAACGTATCGGGAGGGAGGGGGGCGGGGCTAAAAGAAGGCACGAAGTGCTACGTAGAACGTATCAGGAGGGGGGCGGGGCTAAAAGTAATGAGAGTTCGGGTAGAGCAGCTACATTATGGGACCTCCTTTGCCAGGACCAAAATATGAGAATAGATTTTCCCCTTTAATCTGGCAACTAAACAGGTGTCAAGTTCTTAGAATCAATGCATATATTACCAGAGTGTGTGTTTTGTTTGCATTCTGACCACAAGTATTGTGATTAATGCAGACATTATTCCTTGTAAAAGGTTTCAGTTTGGTGTATTAACATCTTAACACCTAGAAAAGAGGGGAAATGTGGGGGTCGCTGTCCCCCGAGATCCCTCCCTCGATAACGCTAACGGTCGGGCTAACATCATTACTCGCCCCCCCGCTGCTAGGCGAACCGCTGCTGGGTTCTTCACCCATGGGGTGGGAGCCGTCGCTCGAGGGTTCCCCTCCACCGCGGGTCTGCGTAGTAGGCATGGTTAATTACCGAGTAGTATTACGCCCCCTTTACACTACCCCGATACCTCCCTTTCCTAATCGCGCACCTGTGTCCTACACGTAGTGAACATACGCCCACACCCACACACAGCTCCACACGCGACACCCTCTCTCGCGCCGCTCTGCGCAGCGCTCCCACGTGGCGAAACACTGTGTACACAGCACCACACGCGTTCACACTTCTCAACGAGATCACACGAGGCCACGATCAGCTATTAATGATTTATTTCCGGATACCTGGGAATTGATGTTAAATCAATATGAATCGACGAGGCTGGCCTATTCTACTACCCCTGGACCTATTCCCTATTTATCGGCTTATGATACTAATTATCCTTCTCACTCACGGTTAGGTGCCCACGGCGGTCCGTTGATCCCTTCCTCGCTGCGTACCTCGATGCGTCGCACGGACGTCCGGGTCGTTGGGCTGGAGAGCGTCTCGTGGCCTGATTCTGGAGCAAGAGAGCGATCTACCCGTTTTCGCCCCCCTTTTATCGTCCCTACATCAAAGAGATGCTGCTCCGCCTGTTGTGGTGCCCTCCCAGTTTTTCTTTAACAATGGGCGCGCGACAGTCAGGGCGCGTGCGGCGGTTCCGGGGTGCCTTTGCTATGCTAATCAGATGCGCTGCGTGTTGCGGCGCTTATTCTAATTATGCTCTTCCTTATGCCCCTCTGCTTGCCTCGTCGATACGTGCGTGGGTGTGGGGGGTGCGTTTCAAGCACAGTGGTCGAGTGGCCCCTCGCCGCGACCTTGCAATCTTAATGCCGGTCGCAGCGCCGCGAAGTAGCATCGGGGGAGGTCGTCCAATTTCCTGGCCGCAGGAAACTGTGAAAGTTAATCCCTGTAAGGGCTTCTCGGATAAAAACCGGTCGTCCAGGTGACTTCCCCTCGGAGCTCTATGGGGGGGGGGGAAATGCGTGCGGGTGTGTTTATGTGAGGTGAGGTGAGGGGGACGCGGGGGTCGGCTCCGTCACTTGGTGGTGGCGAGGTCGTAGGTGGGGCGCCTGCTGAATGGCTTCGTGGCAGCGGCATCACAGAAAACCTATTGCTGATGTTGTTTGTGTTCCGTGTTTTTTATTGTAGAATCGACGATACAAGCGTTACAATGCCACTGTCGTATGCATACATTTATACTTTTTAAAACATTTTTTTGTTGTTGCGTCACTCCCACAACCCATGACACCACCAGTGCATAAACACATCCCAGTTCACCATTGCTAATCACTGCACCCCTACACTACAATCACATGACAGTCACCAGCCATTCACGGGTGTGGCACTGCACGTGACGGTGACAAGGGTGGCGTCTGCCCTCTACGCTATTCACGTTCACCTCTCTCAGGATGCACCACTCAGATCCACAATCCTCACTGAGGCACCAACTCTACCCCACCCCACCAGTAGCCCAGGATATAGGGGCTGAGCGAAGGTTTGGTGAAAAGAGTGCAACGGCGCCATGGAGTCGGCGCTGTAAAACGACAGCAGCCCCGCGTCCCAGTCCAGATGGACCCCGACTCTCCGTGGAGGCTCCGGCACCGACAGTGAGGTCTCTACCCCGCCATGCAGCACTGAGAAGCTGTCGCCATCTTTCCGTATACACCAGGAGACGTCACTCTCTCCCAGGCGGCACTCAGCACCATTCCCTCTCCGTGGGATCGTCCCGTACGCGACTCCAACCCGACACCACCGCCCCGCGCTCCCCACGTCCACCTCCCAGTAGTGCTGACCCGACGAGAAGCTCTCAGAGCACAGGGCTTGGTCCCATACATCAAAGCGGTGTGGGTGATGGGGGCGACGCTGGGGGACATCGCTCCACGTCGCTGTCCTGCGATCCGAAGAAATCTGGAGGTGGTCGTGGGCTGAGTTTGTGTCCAGAGTCGGTGAGCGTCCATCTGTGGTGAGCATTAGTGTACACACACTAATATTCGTTAGTATTAGTGTACACATACTAATATTCGTTAGTATTAGTGTTCATATACTAATATTCGTTAGTATTAGTGTTCATATACTAATATTCATTAGTATTAGTGTACACAATAATATTCGTTAGTATTATTGTACATATACTAATATTCGTTAGTATTAGTGTACACATACTAATATTCGTTAGTATTAGTGTTCATATACTAATATTCGTTAGTATTAGTGTTCATATACTAATATTCATTAGTATTAGTGTACACAATAATATTCGTTAGTATTAGTGTACATATACTAATATTCGTTAGTATTAGTGTACATATACTATTATTCGTTAATATTAGTGTACATATACTATTCTTCGTTAGTATTAGTGTACATGTACTAATATTCCTTAGTATTAGTGTAAATATGCTAATATTGGTTAGTAGTGTACACATTAGTTTATAATTAGTGAATAATAATTAGTGAATAATTTGTGAATAATAATTAGTGAATAATAAATATTAGCAAAAGTGCTACACTAACATGACAATGTGTGTGTATGCAGTGGTAGTGAACAGTGGTGATGATGCCAGCATCACGATGTGAACGCCACTCTCACAGCGTCTCTCTACAAACACAACGCCTGTTCCACAGCCACCACAGCCTCGCACACTCTCACATCCACACACAGACTCTGCGTCAAGCCTCGCACACTCTCACATCCACAAACATACATTGTGTGTCCCTCCTCTGCTGGATGAGCGCCTCCCTGCACTGCGCGTCCGGGGGGGGGGTTATTTGACCATACTTCACCGCTCTCGTCAAGGCGCGTTGGCGATGGTGGGGATCGTGAACTTAGAAGCGTAGAGGTGCAGTACAACAAAAGTTCACGCTGTACGGCCCTCTGCTGATGTGATGTGTAAACATTCGGCACGAGGGAGACAAAGGCGACCGGCGTGGTGCTGGCCACTCACCCCCTTGTGTGCCGTGCCGGCCTTCATAGATGATGCTGCTGATCGCTAACAGCACTTTCCTCAGGACACAGCAGTATGGTTTAGTAGAATATTGAAACTGTTAAAGGAATTGTATTTCACCATGTAAAGCCCACTGATCCATGTCGCTCTCTTTCAGAGTTTGCGTCTCTCTCCCCGTGGTAGCGTGGATTTATTCCTGGTTCCTCGCGTTTTCCCCTCCACATTTAGAATCAATTTGCATTCAGAGGATTTGCCTGCTGCTATGAATATCCACGTGATGAGCCACTTCATAGAGCTGTCAGTTGTGATAGTCAGGTCGCTCCCGAAAAAAGAGGAACATGGTTCAGTGTGTTCTTTACCTGGTAAAATAAAATGAAAGTTGATGAAGGTGGGGAGCACAGAAGTGCAGTGCAACACAACGGTACACGCGGGTGCAAGACTGAGGCACTCACAGACGAGAGGCAGGAATCTGTTCACGACCCTTTCAAGGGAGCGGATCGTGGTGGCGTCCAGTGAAGTGGGAGGTGGGGGTGCAGATTCCATTGGGATCTCTCTCCTGGGACAACCACCAACAGCATCACACATAGCCTCGTTTAACCACAGCATCGGAACACTCAGCATCCGTAGCACACACAGCCCATGTCTCACGTACAGCTCGTGTCTCACACACAGCCAGTGTCTCAAGCAAAGCCCTTGTCTCACACACAGCCCGTGTCTCACACACAGCCCGTGTCTCACACACAGTCAGTGTCTCACACACAGCCCGTGTCTCACACACAGTTGGTGTCTCACGCACAGCCCGTATCTCACACACAGCCAGTGTCTCACACACAGCCAGTGTCTCACACAGCTCGTGTCTGACACACAGCCCATGTCTGACACACAGCCAGTGTCTCACACACAGCCAGTATCTCACACACAGTCAGTGTCTCACACACAGTCAGTGTCTCACACACAGTCAGTGTCTCACACACAGCCCGTGTCTAACACACAGCCCGTGTCTCACACACAGCCAGTGTCTCACACACAGCCTGTGTCTCACACACAGCCCGTGTCTCACACACAGCCCGTGTCTCACACACAGTCAGTTTCTCACACGCAACAACAACAACCGCCATTTGCTACTAAGTGGCGGTGACGTCACCACGACGTTTGTGCCAGGCCAAGTGCACATTGAGGCCACGTGAAGTGTCGAACGCCCGCTGGCAGGAGGTCACGGGGCAGACCCAGGTGCCACGGGTCGACTGACCGAGATGACCGAGATGACTGGCTGATGCACCACCTGTGCCCCCTACTGTACCAACTTACTGTGCTTTAGCCATCCGGCGCTCCGCTCGTTGTTGTGAGCGTCGCTCCTCTGCCCTCCGTTGTTGTTGGAGGGCGACTGCCTCCAACTGCCCAGTAGCGTCCTTCAGGAGGCTCCTCCACAGAGGCCGATCTTGACACGGCTGGTACCAGTCATCGGCAAGTCGACTCAGCTCCACGTCCTCCTGTACCACATCACTCCATCTCTTCTCTAGCCCGTTCCGCGCCCGTTTAGCCCCCTCGATCCGGCCGAACAAAAGCTATTTAGGCATGCGGTCATGTAGCCCGCATGCCCAGCCAACGCAGCCTTGCCTGCCGGAGGAGCTCACCGATGGAACTTTGTCCAGATCTTTCAAGGATTTGTGAGCTCCTCACACAATCCAACCTGGTTAAACCCAGGATGGATCGTAGGCAGGCCAGCCTAAATGTTTCCAACCGACAGTCAGTGTCTCACACACAGTCGGTGTCTTACACACAGTCAGTGTCTCACACACAGTCAGTGTCTCACACAGCCCGTGTCTCACACACAGTCAGTGTCTCACACAGCCCGTGTCTCACACACAGTCGGTGTCTCACACACAGCCCGTGTCTTACACACAGTCAGTGTCTCACACAGCCCGTGTCTCACAGACAGTCAGTGTCTCACACAGCCCCTGCCACACACACGCAGTCTCACACAAAGATAAAGACAAAGATCCTCTATGTAGCCTTAACAGACTGTAGGGGCAAGTGCTGTTAGCGAGCACCTTTGAAGGCCGGAACGGTACACGGGTGGATGGGTGGCCAGCACCCCGCCCGACCGCCTTTGTCTCCTCAGTGGCGATGTTTACACATCAAACAGGTACAAATTTGAGGCTGAATCTACCTAGGGGAGGCCCAGGCTCAGATAGTCATCACTGGAGTTTGTCGTGAGCGGGTATCGAACTCGGGTCACCGGGTTCACAGCACAGCGCGCTAACCGCTTGACTACCACTCACACAGCCTGTCTCACACAGCCCTTGTCTCACTAAAACTGCCCATGTCTCAAACACAGCTCGTGTCTCACGAACAGTCGGTGTCTCACGCACAGCCCGTGTCTCACACCATCAGCCCGTGTCTCAAATACAGTCAGTGTCTCAGACAGCCTGCATGTCTAACACACACACAAACACACCCTGTGTCTAACACACAGAGCCCGTGTGTCTAACACACAGAGCCCGTGTGTCTAACACACACAGCCCGTGTGGTGTGAGTGTTTAACCGTGAGATATTAAGGATCTATACCTGCGCGTCTCCTCCAGGTGCCCCTGTTGAAGAGAGAGAGTGATCATTAGTGACGTCTCTACCCTTGCACAACGAGTCCCTCTGCCACTGCCCGCTCTGTTGTTCTGGACACCCAAACGGCGTCTCACAGAGTCGCTCCCCACCTGCAGGAAGGCGAGCGAGTCGTTCTCGTGCTCCAGAGCGCGCAGGCGAACGGCCGCCGCCTGGAGCTCGCCGATCTGCCGCTTGTGACGAGCGATGTCCTCCTCGATCCGGGACAGCAGCTCGCGCTCCTTCACGGCCACACGACGTAGAGCCTCCCTCTCGTCCTCGTCCAGAGCCTTCCTTAGGCAGGCGAACTTGCCCGTGATGCGACCCCTGATCCCGGCCACCGATTGCTGTGGAGACGCGGGGACTATGAGCCACTCCGTGTGTGTGTGTGGGCGCAGCGGTGGCTAGGAGATGTTGACTCCTTTGCCTGGTATATAGCAGGTCGTGGTTCGATCCTGACCCTGATACCTGTATATTTGGAGTTTGTTCTCTCTGTAGCCGTATGGATTTTTCTCTGGGTCCTCGGTTTTTGCCTCCACAATTATAATCGACGGTACGCATTTAGATATTTGGCTGCTAGCAATTTCAACATTACAATCATCCACTTTGTTGAGCTATCATTTATAATAGCCAGGTCGCTTCTGACAAATAACCTCTTCTGGTAAAATAAAAAAAAATAGTTTAGTCTATGGGTCTCTATGGCTGTCTATGAGTCTCTATGGGCCTAATATCTCTATAGGTCTGTATGTCTCTCTCGGGGTCTCTCTGTATCTCTATGCCTGCCTATGTATCTCTCTGTGTGACTTTGATATCTCTATGGGTCTGGTATCTCTATGGGTGTCTATGTATCGATATGGGTCTCGATGTATATTTGGCTGCTGCAATACATTTCCACGTGATGATGATGTCAGTCATTTGGTTGATCTGTAATTTGTGACTGCCAGGTCACTTCTGAAAAATAACTACACAGCTCAGTGGGCTTTACCTGGTAAAATAATAAAATAATATTCCCTTGTAGTGAATCATTCCCCAGTGACGAGGCGCCCATTGGACTGTGGGATCCATGCTAAGGGGGAAAGAGGGGTGCCGCTCTTCTCTTGTTTCTCCCCTAGAGGGCGCTGATGTCGTGGGTGTTGAGACTCGGTCGCTCGGAGTATGGTGGGGGCCCCCTCGTGGGTCCGACGAGATGTGGCGAGATGTTAACTACCTCACCTGGTATACAGGGAGTCGTGGGTTCGATCATGACCATAATTATTTCTGCATATTTGGAGTCTGCGTCTTTCTCCCTGTGATCACGTAGATTTTTCTCCGAGTCCTGCGGCTTTTCCTTCCACATTTAAAATCGGCGTAATCAAGGTCAGGTTTTCCCACGAATCCGACTCGGGTTTAGAGTCCAAGGCATTAGTTATATGCTGTGAACAACCCGCAGAGCCCAAGAGTGTCTCCGAGTTCAAGCAAGCGTTTAGAGTACTGTATTTAGAGTATTTGCTGCTATCTATTTCCACTTGATAAGCCATTTCATTGAGCTATCATTTATGATATTCAGGTTCCGTCTGCAAAAGAGCTACATGGTTCACTGGGGCCTTACCTGGTAAAATAAAAATAGTTGTAGTTAAAATAGACTACGGTGACACGATTAGGGACGGCGTGGGGCGCAAATATGAGGCGTGCATGCCTCTGCGTCCGTGCCGGTGCACGACCTACAGTGCAGTGCAACATCTGCACCACATCTCCACACCGACAATCCGTTGCAGTGGCACTCTCTACATTTTTTTTTGCCACAGGAGTGGAAGACGCAATGCCGATTAACCCGACCTCGCGGCAGACTCGCCAATGCGGCTACCGAATGCGGTAAATGTGCAAACCACTTGTAGTTAATGTTGAGTTTAAAAGTGAATGATATAATTACAGTAAGAGGCATCAAAGTTATGAAGCTGCATGAAGTTCGATTGCATTTTGACCTCCACGACTTCCACACTGGGTGGAGATCACGAGGGCCAAAGAGCCAGACCCAGAACGGTACCTGCGCCTCCTTGTGAGTGGCCTCCATCCGCTTCACGGACTTCTCCGCCTCCTTCATCTTCTCCTCCACCGCTTGCGTCTCATACCCAACGCGCGTCTGTAGTGAGATACGAGACGTTACCAGGGGGAGACTCCAGCCCCCTGAGCCACCCCTCAACACTGCCCTTCCCTCCACACAGACTCCTCTACAACAAAGGCCCTTATCTCCATGCTGCCTCTCTACGGCGATTGAGACGGGGGGCACGGGCAGTGGCCAAGCTGATGCCTCGATGTAGCAGCAGCCGGTGGGGGCCATGCTGGCTTGGTGTCCATACCGACTCAGACCCAAGAGCCTATGTGCCCACAGCTGTCTCGTTTAAAAAATAATTTAATAGAATTGTCTTTCAGGTGGCTTTGATATCAGTCTCACATCTCTATTCACTTAATTCCTTTACACGGGAATTATGTTTAGTGAGAGCCTGGCATGAAATACATCCTGAGGCTATATCCTAAAACTGCCAAGTAGGAGATGTCAACACAGTCAGAGACAGTGATTTAAAAGAGAGAGCATGAACATACTCTTTGGCTCTTTCGGTTAAGTCACATAGGTAGAAAAAATAAGAGATCACGACGTTTCGATCGCAACACAAGCAACCGTCATCAGGTGTGAAACAAACTACAGGAGGACTGCTGTGTTTGTTTCGAAATGTCGTGATCTGTTATTTTTTCTACCGTCGTGACTTTACCAAAAGAACCAAAGAGTATGGATTCCTGTTGTAAAGCCCAGTTACAGAATTAGTCAGATCGTTTTGTGGTGTCTCACTCTGAGGGCCTCACCTTCCGTATCTCGTGCTCCTTCTTCAGCATGGTGACATCATGTCCTTTGTGTTCACCTGTGATGGTGCAAATTAAGCAGACCAGGCTGCTGTCTACTGTGCAGTAGAATTTCAGCTCCTCACTGTGTTCAGGGCATCTTCGCTCATCCAAGCTCGCAGTGGGATCCACCACGGCATGGTCTCTCAACCTGGGATTATCCTCGTGAGGCTTCACGTGCCTTTTAGAGAATGACAGCTTCCGGCACAATTGGTGTTCTTTAAACCTGGGATTCTCCAAGTGAGGCTTCAAGTGCGTCGCACAGTACGACGTCTCGCATCTCAGGCAGGTATTCACTGCAGGAGTGTGGCCATCACCGCAGATGTCACACACGACTGCCGTGGCCATCCCGTCTCCAACTCGGAGCTGCTCCGCCAAGTTGGCGAGGGCCACGTTCTTCCTCAGCAGGGGTCGCACAGGGAAGGTGGCTCGGCACTGCGGACAGCTGAAGCTGATCGCTGTCTCCCAGGCGGCCTCCAGGCACCGGAGGCAGAACGAGTGTCCGCAGCTCAGCGTGGAGGGACAGACGAACGTGCCCAGGCAGATGGAGCAGCGCAGCTCACTATCCACACTCTCACTGGGAGTCGCGCTCGCCATGACCCATGATTTCACTGGGATCACTCGCTGTGTGGCTCAGAGAGACGCTGGACCAGGATCAATCTCTTATAGCGATGGTGAAGAAGGAAGTAAAATACTTTCAATATTTTCATTGTCGTCACTGACATCACGAGACACTCCCTGGAGTGTGAACCCGCGCCTTTGGTGCCCAAACAACAGCCTCAAGGTGAACACGGCTTCTGTACACACCTTGACATTTAAATAAATTAGTGGTGTTGTTAATATGAGTGACTAATGCAGCCAGCTATGGCTGCAGGGTTTTGGTAGTACATGTTTGTCATTTATTGTGAAAATTCCGTCACAGTTCCTATGATCACTGTTTCATTGCTTTCATGGCCTTATTTTGGTGATTTCGAAAAGTTTATTGGTTTAGCCTAGTTTGTTTGTTGTAGTACGGAGTTAGACTGTTGGCCTTAATCTAAGTTGTCTGGTGGTTGTTGTTGTTGTTTGACTTGCATCCCACTGGGATTTTTGCACACAGCGTTGGTGTACGGTGTTTTTTCTGCAATTTTTTGCTGTCTTTCCTTCGATTTTCTGTTTGCACTTAGTCACATATTAACTTTAAGATGTTTTCTTGTTCATGTTTTTGTTTTTTGTTTGTTGCGGTTGCACCCGATTCAAGAGCCGAATGGCTCACAGGGCTATACCTAATAAATGAACTTGAACTGAATATAAATCGGTGAGGCTCAGCTGCGGTCGTTCATTCTAGAGATTAGTGTTGAGAGATGACCTCATCCTCCTACAGCAAGTTGGTGGCAATATGTTATCTCCGTCGTCAGGTATACAGGTGGTGGTGGGTTGATCCCAATCCTGACGCCTGCTTTATATTTAAAGTTTGCATCTCACTCTTTCTCCGTGATCGCGTGGATCTTTCTCCGGATCTTCCGGTTCTTTCCCTCCACATTTACAATCAACATCACGTGTTTAGAGTAGTTGGCTGCAATACATTTCCACGTGATAAGTCATCATTTGTGGTCAGGTCGTTTCTGAAAACGAGCCACACGGCTCAGTGAGCCTTACCTGCTAAAATTTAAATATATAGTTGGTATAGTTGTAGATATCTCATGATGTCCTGTAACTCCATCTCCGTGTAATTACCCCAACGTGACAAGTTGCTTGAATGTCATCGTGGCATCAGAAAAAAAAATACCTGTAGCCTCCCGTGACAGATCCTGGAATCTTGAGCCATTTGCTAGCAGTGTGAATCTATCACCAACTCTACCTGCTGGCGATGTCACCGTCTCTCACTCTCACCTTGTCCGAGACTCCAGATCCCCGTGCCGACCATTCACAGCCGCACCCACCGCTTACTTCACCTGCGTTGTTGTTTCACATTCACACGCACGGCTACTCAACGCGCATGCACGCGCAGCAACACAAATGCCCATCGGCGTTCACTATGATGTTAAAAAGAAAATTCTAATTAAACTCAACTATTTTTATTTCACCCGCTGAAGCCCACTGAAATGTTAGCTTATTTTTCAGAAGCGACCTGCCCATTACAATTAATAGCTCAACAAAGTTGCTCATCATGTTGGAAATTTATAGCAGCCAAATAATCTAAATACTGCACTCCAAACGTTTACTTGAACCCGAAGACGCTCTCTTGGGCTCTGTGGGTTGTTCACAGCAGATAACGAATGCCTTGGATTCGACACCTCAGGCGGACTGAGTTCCACTGAACACACGGCCTGGACTCGTCCACGTTGCTTACTAACGGATAAAAACTAGTCACTGTGTTTGAAAAGGGTCCTTCTACAAGGTCACCAATGCGAGTGATGGGGGTTCCCACGATGTCCACGGCTCATTCCTTGGTGCAGCAGCAGCAGCAGAGACGGTTCAGTGCTCAGTGAGGCGCAGTGGCTCCAAGCCAGGCAGGCAGCGCGATCCGCCGCGGGTTTTGTAGCCAACAAATCTTGGCAGCTTCCCGGCAGAGCCGGTTAGGTGACAGCTCAGCACCCCTCGGGTGCCACGCAGCCCACACCCGGCTATGCATCCAGTTACACGTACACACTCACTCTCACACTCACTCACTCACACACTCAATCACTCACTCACTCACTCACCCACTCACACACTCACTCACACACGGGCCTACGGTCTGTCTCTCTCTTTCTCACTCACCGCTTGTATAAAGCCGTCTATGTCCCGTCTTGCTACTCCCGTACATGAATCTGTGTGTATCTAATCTGTGTCTCTAGTCTGTATATCTCTATAAAAAGTCATCTTTGTCCCATCTATGTTGTATATTTGCCTTTCCAAAAATTAATATTAAGAGTAATATTGCCTATTTTACACACTTTTATTTAACTCACTCCGTCTGTTGTCGTACCCTTGTGATGCAGCCGCCACGAAGCCGTTCGGCAGGCGCCCAAATCCCCGACCTCGCCACCACCAAGCAACGGAGCCAACCCCGCGTCCCCCTCACCTCACCTCACATGAACACACCCGCACGCATTTTCCCCCACCCATAGAGCTGGAAGGGGAGGTTACCTGGCCGACCGGTTTTTATCCGAGAAACTCTTATCGGGGTTAACTCTCACGGTTTCCAGCGATCAGGGAATTGGACGACCTCCCCCGTGCTACGTTGCGCCGCGACGCTGCGACCAGCCTTAATATGGTGTGGTCGCGGCGTGGGGCATTCGGCCACCGCGGTGGAGGCGCATTTTCCCCCCACACACACCCCCACGGGTCGACGAGACAGGCGGAGGAGGGAGGGGACAGCATGAATAGCGGGACCGCATGGGCTCTTGCGCATAGTCATGGAGGGTTGGGAACATTACGCTTGAGCGCGCAGGCCCCATTGTTAGGAAGGGTAAGGGAGTAATTAGGATGTACGCCGCCAACGCCGCTCACTGATTAGCAGATCAAAAGCGCCCAGAACCGCCATGCGCGGGCTCGAGGTGCACGAGCCCATTGTTCAGCGCAGCATCCCCTTTGAGGTAGGGAGGATAAATAGAGGGGCGCAGAGGGGAAATCGCTCTCTTCTCTCCAGGCCAGCGGACCAGCAGCAGTTCCAGCCAGCGACCCGGACGTCCGTGCGACGCATCGAGGTGCGCTGTTAGCGCAGAGAGCAGCGAACCTCCGCGGGCACCAAACAGTGAGTGGGGAGGTGAAGTAGGGTAGCGTAAGCCGATAAATAGGGAATAGGTACAGGTTTGGGTGGAATAGGCCAGCCTCGTCGACTCACTGATTCAACATCAATTCGCAGGTAGCATATAATAAATCATTAATAGCGAAGCGTGGTCTCGCGTGATCTGGTCGTGCAGTGTGAGCGTGTGGGTGCGCTGTGTGCACAGTGGTTCGCCACGTGAGTGAGCGCTGCGCGGAGCTGAGCGCGCGGGTTGCGCGTGGGTACGCAGTGATTCTGTAGTGCTGCGGCTCGCCTAGGGGGAGCGCTGCGCAGAGCGGTGCGAGAGTGGGTGTCGCGTGTGTTCACTCCCTGTGTGATACAGGTGCGCGAGTATAACGTGAGTTGAGTTGGAGTGCGCGGAGCGGCGTGTGTGTGGGCGTGCGTGCGTTCGCTCCGTGTGGGTTGCAGGCGCGCGATTAGGAAAGGGAAGTATCGTAGTAGAGAGGGGCAGAATACTACTCGGTAATTAACCATGCCCATTACGCGGACCCGCGGTGGAGGGGAATCCTCGAGCGACGGCTCCCACACCATGGGTGAGGAACTCAGCAGCGGTTCGCACAGCAGCGGGGGAGCGAGGGATGATGTTAGCCCGGCCGTTAGCATTGTCGAGGGAGGGATCTCGGGGGCTAGCGACCTCGACACCCTTAAAAAATATTGTAACTCAATTTGTCCCACTTCCCAATATGCTATCGACTGCAAACTTGGTATACCTATGTCATACTGATGACAAGACTACATTCTATCATACAAAATCCAAAACATATATTTTTTGACATTTTACACGCTTTTTATTTAACTCACTCTGTTGTCGTATCCTCAAATCTTGTAACTAAATTTCAACCATCTTCCCAATGTCGTATCGACTGCAAACTTGGTATAGTGATGTCATACTGATGACAATACTATATTATATCATTAAAATTTTAAAATATATATTTTTTTTACATTTTACACGCTTGCATTTAACTCACTCTGTTGTCGTACCCTCAAATCTTGTAACTAAATTTCAACCATCTTCCCAATGTCGTATCGACTGGAAACTTGATATAGGTATGTCATACTGATGACAATAATATATATTATATCATTAAAATTTAAAAATATTTATTTTTTACATTTTACACGCTTGCATTTAACTCACTCTGTCTGTTGTTTCCTCAAATCTTGTAACTCAATTTCAACCGTCTTCCCAGTGTCGTATCGACTGCAAACTTGCTATAGGAATGTCATACTGATGACAATATTATATTCAATCATGAAAAAATGAAAATGTTAATTATTAAATGATATTTTTTACGGCTCTAATTGTCCACGCTCAACTCACGTTGGCTGTAAAACACCACGGTCCCTTACGTTATGGCACGTTTCGGGGAGCCACGCCGAGGGACTGGGTATGTGGAAGGAGGGGAGGGGCGATGGGGGAAGGGGGCAGGGGGAGGGGCAGCTCGGACAGTACATTGCATTAAGGCGTGTTTCCAAAAAAAGTATTTTATAATATTTTATTGTTACACGCTTTTATTTAACTCACTCTGTCTGTTGTTGCTGTTGTCGTATCCTCAAATCTTGTAACTCAATTTTAACCCACTTCCTAATGTGGTATCAACTGCAAACTAGGTATACTTATATCATACTGATGACAATACTATATTCTATCAAAAAATAAAAAAAACGTCTTTTTAAACATTCATTTTTATTTGTTATGTTTCGGCTTGGGTCTAATTGTCCACGCTCAACTGACGTTGGCTGTAAATCACCACGGCCCCTTACGTTATAGCAAGCTTTGCGGCCACTTCCTGAAGTCGTGGAGTTCTGCCATTACGAGTAGGGTACATTTAATTAAAGCGTGTTTTAAAAAACGTATTTTTAAATATACTTATTTAACGTAACAGTTTTGTTTTCTCTCCACATGTCTGGATTTTACTCGTTCTAAAAAAAGTCAAAAGGCATAATACAAATTACGTAAATTGTCCACGACCAGAAAAATATGTATTCGAGTGGTATAACTGCAGCCTGCCCAACAGCCTTTGTCTTCCCAGTGACTGTTATTGGATGCTGTAGCAGGAATTCATATTAAGGATGAGTCGACCTGAAGAGGGGGGAAGGCCGTTTCACAATAAGCAAGGCTAAAGGCACACACCACACCAGGAGCAATTGAGAACATCTGCGCTCACACAATCTTGGGATGACCTCCGGAGGAAGGTAGGGGAAATCTAGATTTGAAGTTTTCGTGACTGCAGGGATCCATACTCTGGTTCTTTCGGTAAAGTCACGTAACGAGAGAGCCGATCATAATCGCACCACTTAATAACTGCACACACATATAATCAATAACACATAATCACAAACATATAATCACACGTACATACCCATAGACAACACATAATCACATACACACACATTAATCATATATGTTTTTAACACACGCATTCTTAAATACACTTGGCACACAATTTTTGTTAATCACAATTAATTACTTTGTCAATACAAAAAAATCACAATATATTCAACAGGGGTCACAAGACATCTGGACCACCTCTGTACAAATGGGATGGCCCCCGCAATTTTGACAGCAGTGGTTCTTAACCTTGACTGCAGCCTTGCACCCCTTGGGTTCTCAATCGTTAAACATTTTAATAATGTTAATAAATAGCTGGGGGTTTGATAAACAAAGGGGTTGTACTTACGTGTCCGTGCTTAATTGTGTTTCGATGATTTACCTTCTAAACAAGTCTGACGACGTCTCACACCCCCAGAAAGAGCATCTCGCACCCCCAGGGGCTGCGTGCACGCCAGGTAAAGAGCCACTGTCTACAGGGACCGATCTCTGCTCATAAACCACGAGACCCCTGATGC